TGCCTGATTGGTAGTATTCGTTGCGCTTTCCAAGTCTACTGTAGTAACGACGTTACTGACTCTTCTGCTGCAGTAGCAGAAGCAACAGCAGCACCCGAGACACGATGAAGTCTGCTTCTCCGCTGTCATATGATAAGGTTGAGAGAAAGGTCGTCCACTTTCATTTGCTGTTGTTTTTCGGCTACTGTGACGAGAAGTGCTGTGAATAGCGTGAGCTCTATTTACCGCTATCCATAGGATGGCTCCCACTTCAACTGCTTGAAAGGCGTCAAGGAGAGCTGAGGTAGTCAGGATGCCCGCGATGCTTACATTGGTTTTGTAGATGGAGTACATTGCCGATATGAGAAGCAGGAAGGCAGTAAGGAGATTAGATGAAGCAAGAATTAGTAGGCCTTGCAGGTATACTCTATGTCGACGGCTTTGAGATCGCCAAGTCATTTTACCACTGGGTTTAGAGTATCGCTGGGGCAAATTCATGTCTTGCTCCAGTCGATTGATTGAAAGGAGAGATGATAGCCTGAGAAGGGATACATCCGCATTGGGAACCAGCATCATGGGCTTCTTTGATGCCAGGAAACGTGATGTGGTCTCCGAAACACGCCTCGGTGCAGATGAGTCAAGACTGCCCGTTCGCTGAGGTCGGTGATCTGAATAGGTCTCATCAGTGCTGTAACCACCAACAGAATATTTCTTTTTCCTGGGTCCAACGCCCAGCATTCTGGAAAAGATGAGGATACCAGCATTGGTAGCAATTCCCAAGCATGCAATGAGAATAGCAATGCTTATCTCACTCAGAAGCATGTCTGCGTTGTGGGGAAAGCCTTGATGCCGTGGTCCCCAAGTAGAAGCAGAGGATGGGTACTGGTGGTGGAGAAGTGCACCAATGAGCGTGCAGCTGACGCTCTGATTGGTCCACGCGGCAAGCTATATCAACTAATGCGAAATGCATTTACACATGGAAGAGGATGGGATATGCAGTTCAAAGTACAATCTTATCAACAAAAGTGCGTAAAAACATCTGACATTAATGCAAGTGTTTATTATTCACATTTAATGGGGCAATGAGCTCATTAATTCGGCATTCACAAAGGACCTAGCATTAGTACAAGGAAAAGTGCAGTTTGAGGCTGTCTGATGTTAAAATCTGTACTAGGCCATCTTGTTATTTTTTAAGTGATAAGTTAATTGTGGCTGAATGTCTACCTTCTTTAACTAAATATGTTCCTATAAGCTTAATACTAATTTTTAAAGAAGGTCGGTAAATCATGCTGAATAACTTAAAGGTCAAGATGCAATAAAGCCTAAGTTCTGACAACTTACAGTCATCCTTTTTAAAACCAATTTTTTAAATGAAGACTTGTTTTGAAAAGCTATTTTTATGAAAAAGAAAAATTTGAAGCATAGGCGAAAACCTTACTTTAGTTGAAATTGATTAAAATACGTGAAAAAGGAATTTAATGAAGGATCATTTTAAATGCAAAACCATTCATAAAAGCTTCCATTACGGCAATAAATGAAAACTAACGATGTGCGATAAAAAATGGGAAAGCGATTTACTCGTGACTCAATTCCAAGGCTTTCAACATGCACAATCACGTCTCAGAGGTAAGTGCTACCAAGCCCACAGAAATGCCATTTGAAAGCGTCTAAAAAATGCATCTATGCCCACCCACTGACAAGTCAGTTTTGCAGGTACTCGCTCAACCCTTCCCCCACGTGGTTAGGATGAGTCGGTGACAAGGGAAGCCAAATGCACGAATTGGATCGCCTCCAGAAATGACACTTGGCAAAAATAAAACGCCACTTCACGTGACCCTAGGTCCTGTCTTTAGAGCTCAACCTGTTGATACACACCATGGTGACATCTTCTCTGACGCCAATGGACTGTTCACATGCAAATGTGTGCAACCACCTTCAACACCCCTCAAGGCACACTTTTTGCGTGTCTATGAGTTGCGTAGTCATTTCGAAGGAGCCTGAGAAGGGACAAATTTGTTCGTCAGCGTTACTGTAACTATCAACATTTGACGGTACATGTGATGCAAGTAGACATGTGGAGGGGTTAAATTGAACCACATGGTGTGCGAAATACCTCGCAAGTCTTGTTGTTGCCGCCCAGGTGGTACGAATGGGATGCTGCTTCTCATTCTACTTTTACATTGACATTGGTGCCGTCGGTCCAATAGCGTGGTGTTGGTGGTGGTGGTGGTGGTGGTGGTGGTGGTCAGTCTGACTGGAGGCCGAGGTCAGGACGCTCCATCTACTCAACACACTCAAACTTCCGACGTTGCTTAACAAGAAGTCTTTCTTGCATAACTTCAGAAAGTGAGTAAGAGAACAAAATATATTTATGCAATTCCC